GTCTTCAAAGTGCTTTGTACCTGCAGACTTTTTTTAAAAAATCAATCGTCAGCTCATCCACTTTACTGACCAGCAAAGATCCACGTGGTGTCACTGTAAGCAGCAAATACAATAAAAGTTTAAACTCTGTTTTGAAAGGCAAGACAATATAAAAATAAAAAGAAGCAAAATCTTAGAGCCAGACTGACCTTGAGTTAGAACCGCAATTCTTTTGGGGCCCTGACCTCATCAATCTCTGTGATCTCCAGTTTCCTCATTGATCAGGAGAGAACAGGGAAAGTGCCTGGCACCTGCAAAAGCCTGTGTTCAGTAAATTTTGCTCCTGCATAATGTGAGAAAAGCCGTCATTGCTAAGCAACACTCTGCATGTTTGCAGAGAGCCGTGATGAGGAGGTGAGGTCACAGTCTTACTGAGCATCCAAGGCACGAGCACCGGGATAGATGAAGGGGAGGCAGGATGCTCAGAAGGCACTGGCCGCACACAAACTCTCTAACTTGCAGACGCACGGTGCCAGGCAGTGTACTGCTACCACCCCCTCCTCACCCCTCCTGCCACCTCCTCAGATGCAGAGCCCCCTCTAGTGCTCCTGACAACGGTGAGACAGTCACTGCTGCTTCCCATTTTCCAGATGATTAGACTGAGGCTTGATAAGGTTGCAACCTAAAGCCACAAAGGTCCAAACAGACTTCGATCTTTATTTAGTTTTGTTGCTGTTTGTTTTGCTTTGAGATAGGGTCTCCCTGTGTTGGTCTCACATTGGCCTGAAACTCAGGTGATACAACCTGGTCTGGAATTCGTGATCCTCCTCTCTCTGTTTCCCTAGCTTCTAAATAGGCTTTGAATTCAAGCAGTGTGATTTGGCACAGAGGACTAGTTACTGCTTACCACAGGCGGACCCAGAGGAGGACTAACATGGGATGGACTGGGGACACCCAACTTCTTGGAAGGATTGAGTGGGGCTCACTAGGAAAAGCAGGAGTGGGACCAGTGGTCCAAGCCTTCAATCCTGTCTATTTTAAGAGGGGCTGAGGCAGGATTCCAAGGTTAAAGCCTGCCAGAGCTATGGAGAGACCAGGGGAAGGATGTGGACTAACATATACATGTGTGTGCATGTGTGTACATGTGTGAATGTGTTTCCATGTGTGTACATGTGCATATGTGTTTCCATGTGTGATGTGATAGAGTAGAAATATAGGAGCAACCTCTCTCTATCTCTCGTGTGTGTGTGTGTGTGTGTGTGTGTGTGTGTGTGTGTGAAAGAGAGAGCGAGAGAGAGAGAGAGAGAGAGAGAGAGAGAGAGAGAGAGAGAGAGATGATAGAGCAGAGATACACAGCCTCTCTGTGGTGATATCTTGTTTGTGCTATAACAAAGCTTGCCTAAGGATCAGAGTGCAGAGCTAAGCCATTAGTTGGCCATAGAGGTCAGACAGTGGTAGCACACACCTTTAATCCCAGCACTCGTGACAGAGGCAGACAGATCTGTGAGTTCAAGGCTACCCTGAGCTACACTAGATTGATCTAGTCTCAAAGAGAAACAGAACCAGGCAGTGGTGGCTCATATTTTTAATTCCAGTACTTGGGAGTCACACCCCTTGAATCCCAACACTAGGGAGGTGGAGACAGGAAGAGAAGAGGAACACAAGGCTGGAAGAGCCAGGAGCTCAAGGCATTGGATTCAGTCTGAGGACTTGGAGAGACAGGATAGCCCACTCAGTCTGAGGATTCATGGAGACAGGATCTTGCCCCTTTTGGTCTGAGGATTCAGTAGAGATAAAAAGTCTCTCTAGTGACTTGCTCCTTCTCTGATCTTTCAGCATTTACCCCAGCCGGGTTTTTATTATTATTATTTTTTAAAGACTTATTATGTATAGTGTTCTTCCTGCAGGCCAGAAGAGGGCACCAGATGTCATTACAGATGGTTGTGAACCACCATGTGGTTACTGGGAATTGAACTCAGGACCTATGAAAGAGCAGCCAGTGAGTGCTCTTAACCTCTGGGCCATCTCTCCAGCCCCTCCCCCTGGGGTTATTATTAAGACCAATTAGAATTCACGCTAATTAACATCTCTCCTTTTTATGTGTGTGTGTGTGTGTGTGTGTGTGTGTGTGTGTATCTGAGAGAGAGAGAGAGAGAGAGAGAGAGAGAGAGAGAGAGAGAGAGAGAGAGAGAGAATAGTACTGAGCAGGGGGAACTTCCAGGGTGCTAAGGATGGGTTTCCCGTAGAAAATGAGACAGAGCCCAGAATTTCACCTAGTCTGTACCCGAGTGACCGCCTACATTTCTAAAGAACACACCACAGTTTACAAATTACTTGCACAAAAATGTCCCATTTGACTATGACGACAGGCGACCTGTGTTGGGCAACTTACAAATCCTCAGCAGCTGAGTTCACTGCTGGGCCCAATGAGTGTGGTTCTGTTACTGTCCCTCCCAGACTGGAAAACAGAGGCCAAGGTCAGTTGTCATGTGCCAACAGTAGGGTTGGACCCAGAACTAATTTGGGAAGGACTCGCTTAACCGCAGCCCCCAAACAACCTGATTAAGAAGCAAGCAAGTTGGGGGAGGAGGAGGGAAATGGGAGGCGGCGGCGGGGAAGAGACAGAAATCTTTAATAAATAAATAAATTAAAAAAAAAGAAGCAAGCAAGTTATTGTTCAAGCTTTGCAGGTGGAGAGGGAGAGAGAGAGAGAGAGAGAGAGAGAGAGAGAGAGAGAGAGAGAGAGAGAGAGAGAGAGAATGGACTCTGGCAGGTTCACTTTGCTCATGATTAAACCAAGTTTCCTGGCACCGTGTCCCTGCTCGCAGACTCCAGAGGTACCGAGAGCCTGCAGAAGGTGGGCTCTCTATCTCCACTCTGCAGCTGCGCTACCCACTGGGACACTTTTGGGGAGGAATACTCCAGACTCCCAGACACAGCACCCGCTGCCCTGTACAATCATCAGGGTTGTGCAGAAGCAAGATTGGGGAAACCCACCCTGCGCGACACCCTCCGGGTGGTACTGGCTAAGGCTGGTAACACCTCCTCACCCAGGATCTGGGACTAAGGGAGGGAGGCGGGATCCAAGCTCCTGGGGTCCAAACCCAAGGAAGGAAATGGAAAGGTGGGATGGTGTCAGAAGGAAGAAAAAGCAGAGAGGTAGAAGGCAAAAGCCAGCCCGAGGGGCGGGGAGGGGGGGCGAGATGGGAGGGGAAGGGCGGTTCATTGGTCTACACCCTCGCTGCACAAGCAGCTACATTCACGAGGGGCCCCGAGCCCCAGACTCTGCCTGACAAGTGCAGACTGATTGCACAGCTGGTACACCGTGTCCTAGGTAGAGCGTAGGGTTTTAATACAGAATAAAAGCCGCCCCCCTTCCTGTCATCCTCCCGCAGAGGGGGGTGACTGGGCCCTGGCAGACCTCTTGTCCCCGCCCCGAGCCCTCCCCAGAGCCTCCTGCGGGCTGAGATCGCCGCCCAGCAAAGCCTGGGCCCTCCTCCCTTGCTCGCCGCAGGTCTCAGCCCAGCACCCGAGCCTGGTCCCACCCGCCAAACCACATACTTTCACCATCGTCTCACCCTTTCCTCCACCCTTCCCGTCTTCCTGGCCCTGGCCTCGCCACTCAGATGATTCTTAAGTCCACTGCTTCCTTTCAGTGGCCAGAGAAAGAACGAAAGGCTTGTGTTTGCCAGTGTTTAAATTACCTCTGAAAACACCCAGTGGCAAAGACAATAAAAAGGGACAGTTTCTTCCACTGCTTCTGCAGAGAAGGGGGAGGGGTAGCCCGGTAACCTCCACCCACCAGCCTCACGCCCACCAGCTGTCTTCTGGGTGGAAGGCACCCGGGTCTTAACCCTGTTCCCTCCCCCCTCACCTCTCTGGGCAGGCAGGCTGTCTAGGCCAGCTGGAAGGCTGGTCCATCCTCTCTCTCAGCTAGAAGGCTCAGGGGGCTAGCAGAGGGTCAAAGCTCCCATGTGCCTACCCAGAGAACAGGACGGTTTACTTGAAGGGCTGAGCTATTGCCCCGCCTCCAATCCCTGTCCACCGCCGACCCTTCCTGAATCAGCTTTGTTCACTTAGGGCAGCTTCAGCGGCTAGCTCATGCCACCTGTATATTCTGTCTGGAATCAGCGGGGTCTGAGCAAGCCCCTAATTTCCATTTCCTCCAGCAAATAAAATTGCATGATCCCAACTTCTGAGGTCCCAGGATGACAAGAGCCCTCTGTCCCTGAGGCCATTCTCAGCGGTGCTCCTGGAATCTGTCCAGCTGGTCACCTAGGGAAGTCCCTTCTTAACTACCTGGACAACTGTAAAATTCCACCGGTTCCGTTCTGTGCTCTACTCACTATGCGCTACGGGAACTAGGCTGAAAATTTAAAAACATACACACACGGACAGAGACAGACAGACAGACAGATGGGACCACGGAGGCATCCTTGAGAGAAGAATACCAAGAATGCCCACTTTATTACGCTTAGGAACAGCTTATATAGGACTCTGGCCACGCCAAAGCTCTCGGGTTCTTTCAGGTGCAGACCTGCCAGCCTGCCATCAGGGTCTCGTGCTCAGAGCAGCTGCAGGCTGCTCAGAGCACAGGAAAACAAGTTGTTTACAAGAAATTCAGGGTCTGGTGGTCCGCAGTCCCCATCAAGCAACCATCCAGAACAAGGAGAGAGCCACGTGTGCCTTAACTCACACTGCCTGTCCTCAGGGAAACTCAAGCTCCCCCAGGCTTCTTCCCTACTTCCTTCCAATCTTGTGTCTAGAGAATCACCGGAAGCAGGACTATTCTCCAGGAAGACATCAGCCTGAGAAAGATGTCTGCATTAAAACATCACATGCTAGAGGAGACATATGTTCAAGCCTCTAAGCTACTGCCTGCTAATGATGTGAGCTTGGGCAAGTCACTTCCTAAACTCCAAGTTCCTCGCCTGTAAATTGGATATATCATTACCTGTACCTACTGCCCATATTAGAGTAAACGCAACTCTGTACGTACAGTTCTTCTCTATTGCAGATGGAGCCCAGGGCATCGCACCTGCTACTGTGTGTCCTGGCAGCTGGCCTGACACACCTCCACACTGCTGCCTGCTGCCTAAAGAACTCTTTCCACAGACTGCCGCTTAAGCAAGGTGAGAGTCTTGATTTCACAGCAGAAAAGAATTTTAGGGCAAGCCAGTATGAAGCAGAGTTGGAATTATTAAGAAGGCATGCCTGATATAAGAGAAAGAGAAGCCAAGCTCAGTGGTGCATGCCTTTAATCCCAGCACTCTGGAGACAGAGGCAGGTGGCTGTCTGTGAGTTCAAGGCCAGCTGGTCTACAAAGCAAGTTCCAGGACAGCCAGGGCTACACAGAGAAACCCTGTCTCAAAAAATAAAAACAAAAAAGAAGTGAAAAAGAGGGGTCAGGTCTGAGAGCACACCCAACTCCAGGTGTGTGGGCTTTTCAAGGGGGAGTCGCCCCGAAATGTTTTAGTGGTAGCTTAGATACAGTTTTGGGAGCACTGAAGTTATTTCTCAAAGCGTCACTAAGAAACCTTTTTTCTCCTTTCTCCCCTTTTTTCAAGAAGTGTGGTTCCAGAGGCCCCTTGGATAGGATTGCTATCTAAAAAAGATGATAAAACCATAAGCCACAAGAGTTGCACAAGGGGGTTAAGACAATGTCCTTTACTATAAATGGGGTTTCTGGTGAGATTCCTAGAAAACTGCAGGTTTACATGGGGGGGGGGGGGAGAAAGGCCACACCCACTAAGGGCTGAAGCATGGGTCACTGCCATTTAATATCTTCATACAAAGTGAGCAATGGCGCATGCCTTTAATCCCAGCACTTGGGAGGCAGAAGCAGGCTGATCTCAGTGAATCCCAGAACAGACAGGGCTACACAGAGAAACCTTGTCTCAAATAAAAGGGTAAAAAAAGGAAAAAATCGTATTATAAAGTGAGCACTGTCTCTGTGTCAGTAACCTCACCACGAATTTCGCTAACTGCCCTGGAACTCTTAACTCTGAGCTGGCAGAAGACTTCCACCAGACTCCAGCATAAAGCACTCCCTCCCCTTCCCAGGGCCCCTGGTTTCCCGTCTTTCTATACTGTCTCAGCCACAATCCCACACACATGGAAAATTGTTTGAGACAGGGTCTAGTGTGTAACTCACTAGGTAGGCAAGAATGACCTTGAACTTCTGCTCTTTCTGCCTCCACCCACAAAGTGCTAGAATTAGGTCCACGCTACCCTGCCTGGTTTATACTACACTTGAGAGTAGCCCAGGGCTTTACGTGAGCTAAGGCAGTGCTCTATCAATGGCTGAGGGCTCAGCCCCCCCCCCCCGGAAGAATATTTGTCTTTGGTGGTGGTGATGATTTGGGAGTTTTGTTGTTTTGTTTGGTTGGTTTTTGGTGGTGGTGGTAGGTTTGGGTTTTTTGTTTTGTTTTGTTTTGTTTTTTGTTGTTGTTATTGTTTGGTTTGTTTTGATACAAGTTCTGCACAGGGACAGAGGCCTCCAGAGTACTTAAAGGGATCTGTGCTTCAGTAAAACACTAAAATACCGTCCCTCCCACCCCCCACACCTGCGCACGTGTGCTGGAATGTTCTATATGAATCCACCTGTCTTTGCCTCCAGAGTGCTGGGATCAAAGGTATGCACCACCACATCCAACCCCAAAAAGGTCTTCTTAGCAAAGCGCTTTTCACACAGTCAACTGTCAGTAATGATGGCCTGTAAACCCCTACAATGAAGAAGTATGAATCCCCCTGCCTCAGAGTCTTTCTGTTCACAGGAAGAGCTGAGTGTGCAAACAACTGGATATGAAGAAAAACAGAACTGGCCTGATGATTGTAGTTCGATGGGAGAATGGGGGTCCTGCATTCAATCCTACCACCATCAAAACAAAACAACACAAAACAGAATTAAGAAACACCATTTCATGTGACAAAGAATCGGGGCATGCTTTGGGGAGGAAGAGAATGAAGGCTGATCTTCCCAGAAAACAGAACAGGCAGAGCAGCTGGACAGCTCCCACCCAGGGACAGCCCCCTCAACCCTCTCTTCCCAAGGGAGATAAAGTGAAGCAGGAGGAACAGGAAGGGAGGGAGGGAGGTCCTGGAGGCTGGACCCAAGCCCACAACAAGCAAATGGAAAACTGTTGAGCTCCACCCCCATCCTGCAAGAGCCTGCCCAGAACCCAGAGTGATTATAAGGTCCAGTATATTCCTACAATGCACACATCTGGGTGGAGACTGCATGTAGACCCACAGGGAGCAGATACAGAGTGCACTGAAAAGCCTGTGCTATGAAAATGACCGAAAGCTCATGAGATGTGACACAAAGACCACCCCTCCCTCCTGTCATGGCTTGGTGCCTCTGAACTTCTTTTCTTCTCCATCCCACTTCCACCTGTGGTAATGTACTCTTTCCCAAATTCTCCTTTTATAACTTAGTGCCCACATGACTCTGGCCAATTTCTTGTGCCAGGGCATAAAAACCTAGAGTTTTCCTAGAAAGGAAAAAGCACCCGGAATTCTTTCCGAAGAGCTCACTGAGTCCTGCTAGTCCCTGGCATCACTAGCATGGCTTTGATGGAGGAGCAGGTCACTGCCCCCCTTTATCTGTGCTTAATATGACCTCAATAAATAGACACTTAGAATGTTGTCAGTCAGCCACAGGAAGGAAGAGATTACGCAGTGAGTTAAGCCTACACGTAGTTGGGTGTGTTTGTTTGTTTGTTTGTTTTATTCTTTACTCTTTGAGGGCCTAACACCCAGTTCCCAAGTAATCACATGAAGACTTATTATTACTTATAAATAACCATCCTTAGCTTGGCTTGTTTCTAGCCAGCTTTTCTTTTTTTCTTTTGCCTTTTTTCTTTTTTCAAGACAGTAACAGTCTGTGTAACAGTCCTGGCTGTCCAGAAACTCACTTTGTAGACCAGGCTGGCCTCAAACTCACAGAGATCCTCCTGCCTCTGCCTCCCAAGTGCTAGGATTAAAATTGTGCACCACCACCACCTGGCTAGCCAGCTTTTCTCAAATTATCCTATCTACCTTTTGCCTCTGAGCTTTTACCTTTTTATACTTCTATATATCTTTTCTTTCCTTCTTATTTTGTGGCTGGCTGTGTGGCTGGCTCCTGGCAAGCTCCTCTCCTCCTTTTCTCACTCCTCTAGCCTGGATTTCTCTATTACTTACTCTCCCTGCTGGGAACCCCGCCTATTTCTCTCTCCTGCCTAGTTTTTGGCCATTCTGCTCTTTATTAGACCAATCAGGTATTTTAGGCAGACAAAGTAATATAACTTCACCAAGTTAAACAAATGCAACATAAAAGAATGCAAGACATCTTTGCATCATTAAACCAATATTCCGCAGCACTCAAGAATATAATACATCTTCTAGTCCCAGGACAGGCTCCAAAACCACAGAGAAACCCTGTCTCAAAAAAAAATATATAATACATTTTTAACTAGTATATCACAACATCTGGATGCTTCCTTAGCTTCCCACTCTTTCCTAATACCCCAGTTCATCTGGGTGTGGCAGTTTGAAAAAAATGGGCCCCCAAAGGGTGTGGCACTTCTAGGAGGTATGGCCTTGTTGGAGGAAGTGTGTCACCGTAAGGGGTGAGCTTTGAAGTCTCCTTTCTCAGTCAGTTGACTTCCTGCTGCCTTCTTGTAAGATATAATCAGCACCATGTCTACCTGCACACCACGATATTCCCCACCATAATGATGATGATCTGAATCTCTGAAACTGTAAGCAAGCCACCCCAATTAAATGTTTCTTTATAAGAGTTGCCATGGTCAAGGTGTCTCTTCACAGCAATAGAAAACCCTAACTGAGACAGAAGTTGGTACCAGAGACTGTAATATTGCTATGATAGGCCTGGCCATGCTTTTGTTTGGAGTAATGTGGACTTTGGGTTAAGAAAGCAGTGGAATGCTTTAAGCACTGCCTACTGGGGCAGACAAGTAGGAGCATGGAAGACAATGGTGCTGATAATTATTTGAAATGTCAGAAGCTGGCTCAAGAGGGTTCATGAAAGAATTTTAGTATGTTGCCTAGGAATCATTCTTGTGATATTTTGGTGAAGGATGTGGCTGCTTTTTGCCTTTGTCCAAAGACTCTGCCTGAGACCAAAGAAAAGAGTTTTGGAATAATTCCATTAGCAGAAGAAATCTCAAAACAACCCAGTATAGACTCTGTCATGTGACTATTAGTGGTAACTCTAATGAAGATTCATAATGAAGAGGAGCAAGCTGAACAGGATAACTTACAAAATGTAAAGTTTGAGGAGAAAAAGAGCACCAGGAAGTGATTGGCGCTAAATCCTAAATTCAAGGAGATAAATGGATTAAGAAATGGAATAAAGGGAGTGGTGACCTCAGGGCAAGATAACACCCAGCTAAATGGCCAATCTGTGAAAAGGAACTACAGAAAAGTTTACAGCCAGGTGTGGTGGAACGCACCTTTAATCCCAGCACTGGGAAGGCCGAGGGTGGCAAATCTCTGAGTTTGAGGCCAGCCTGGTCTACAGAGCAAGTTCAAGGACAGCCGAGCTCAGGCAGTGAAGGAAAACAGAAAGCTGGTGAAGACGTAGTTGAATAAGAGGGTCGTGTTCCACCCCAGCAAGCAGCAGAACTTGGCAGCTTTGGCCATGTGGTTCTGGCTTTAGCGTTAAGGACAGAAGAAATGGGTTATGGAATTTACCTTCATGTCTAAAGAAAGCTGCTGAGGCCAGACATGTGTCAGGAGTGGCCCTGAATGGAGGACTCATAGAGAGGCCATTGCATGAAGCTATGAATTTAAACTTCTGGTTGAACCTTGGAGTTCCCAAGACATTAGAGATGCCAGAGTCGTGGGATACCTGCCAAGCAGAGCTGCTAACAGGGAGTGGAACCAGCCCAAGAGAAACAAGTGTGTTGCAGTCAACAAAGCTGAACAAAGTTGAAGACCTGAAGAGTGTCTTAAGATCAGACGCAGAGATGCAGAGTATAAAGTTTTGTCAGCTGGTTCTTGGTCTTGCTATAGTACAGTATTTCCTTGCTATGTTCCCTTCCCTGTGTTTTAGAATGGTAATGTACATCCTGTGGCATTATATGTTGAAAGTATGTGATCTGCTTTTTGATTTTGATTTTTACAGGTGATAAAAACTAAAAGTTATAGTTTGTCATGTGTCTCAGAAGAGACTTTGGATCTTGAACTTGAAGTAAGTTTAAGACTGTTATATATAGACTATGGGGACTTTTGAAGTTGGGTTGAATAAATTTTTTTTGTATTATGATACAGTTTTAAGCCTTGGGGGCTAGGGAGTGGAATGTGGTAGTTTGGGAAAAAAAAATGGCTCCCAAAGGGAGTGGCACTATTAGGTGTGTGGCCTTGTTGGAGGAAGTGTGTCACTGTGGGGTGGGCTTTGAGGTCTCTTTTCTCAAGCTTCCCTCAGTGTGACCTTCAGTCAACTTCCTGCTGCCTTCTGTTCAAGCTGTAGGACTCTCAGCTCCAGCACCACGTCTGCCTACACCACTATACTCCTATCATGATGATGATGGACTGAACCTCTGAAACTGGAAGCGAGCCACACCAATTAAATGTTTCTTTATAAGAGTTGCCATGGTCATGGTGTCTCTTCACAGCAATAAAAAGCCCTAACTAAGACACTAGGTATCCTCTCCACCTGGAGAAACTCCAGGAGGAAAAGCCTTGCTTAAGGCAGTGCACCTCTTCCTCTGGCCACAGGGATCGGGGTACCTGGGGTAGCCGTGACACCTCTATGTAATCAGAATGAAGATCGGCTAGGAATGCTGTGCAACGTCAGTCTTTCTTCAGAGACAGAGCAGCTAAGTCCCAGTGGCTGCTGGCAACGTTTGGGGACCAAATCAGATACAAAGGGACTTAGTTTCTGGGAAAACTGTTAAGCTGCTGGATTGAGCCTTGGCTGAAGTCTCATTTGATGCTAGGCTTTTTTTCTCAGCCCAAGAATGAACAAATTCCTGTATATTATCATAAATCAGTCTGAGCTTTGACTTTTTCAATTCTCAGTGTTGAAGAAATGACCCAGGACCGGGGTCACAGTATAACAAGAATGTGAGAATGTTCGGTGTTACACACAATGGTGAAACTAGAGGCTAGAGGGGCTAAATCATCAAGCTTTCCCTTGCTCCAAGCCAACATACTGAGCTTCATGTAGCAACAGGAAGCCCTGCTCAAAATGGCTGAGGAGAGAAAATGGCATGGCTGAAACTGTTAGGAAGTTAGCTCTGACGGCCAGTGCATGACAGATAGGAAGGGGACTTGGAGCAAAGAGCTGGCTGCTGATTTTGGTTTGAGACAGGGTCTCACCATGTAGCCCAACCGGCCTGAAGCTTGCTATGGAAAGCAGACTGAGCTCCAACTCACAAACATCCACTTGCCTCTGCCCCTTTGAGTGCTTGAGTAAAGGCCTGCACCACCATTCCTGGCCAAAAACTTGTTTGGAGTGGTAATGAGCCCAGGCGTTTTATCAAACCATGCCAGCTGTGGATGGCTGGGAGTCAGCCAGCAGGCAGCTCCTTTAGCAACACCATATCAGTGCCGAGGGCCTTTCCCTCTTCTCCTTGAGAGTTTGTAGTGCACAGTAGAGAAGTCAAACCCCACACTGCTGCTTCTCAGAGAACGGGCGCTTAGAAGCTGCTGCTGCTGCTGCAGAACATGGACTCACTTGGGCTCACAAGGCAACCGAAAGCAAGATGGGAGCCTGGCATCCCTGCCTTCATCTGCACCTGTCTCCCTTGAGTCACCTGCTTAGCTCTGCTGCTTGGCGTGCTAGTCACTCCGGAAGTGTCTATCTGACCTGTCCAGTCCCCTCAAGGCCGAAGGCACAGAGATAAATCACTATCTGAAACTACAGTCAGTCACCTTGGATGCCAGGAATAGCAAGGCCTCGAAAGAGACAGTCCCTCAACGAGGACAACTCTCCCTCTATCTGTTCTGTAAGGCTGCACCCTGGGGCATCACCACCCTCTCTCTCTCTCTTCCTGTGCTGCTGTGGAACCATGGGGCCTACTCTTCTCAGCCTGACTCATTCGCTTATTCCAGGACAGCCTCCCACCTGCGAGCAGAACTGTTCCTTTGCACAATTCCAGTTGCTCACTCTCTGGGCTCCAGCTGTAAACTACTAAAGGATACATTTTAGTTTCCTAAGAAACAAGAGCCCTGGCCCACAGCTCTCTACCTGACCAGTCTCTCTGCATGGCCGAATATGGGTAAATCAGTCATTCTGAGGCTTATTTCCCTTTTGGCTTCTAGAAATAGAAGCTTAAAACACACTCAGGGGTTTCCAACCCAGAGAGATCCATAGAAGCTTCTGGTTTCACTAGTTACTGGCTTCCTGTCTGAGTCACAGACAACCAGGCCCAGCAGTGACTCATTAGTGTCATGACACCCTTGCCATTGCTACCACCAAGGCTGCTGCTGGGCTGTGCTAGTCTCCAGGTTAGCTGGAGCCACCCGGAAGGGCAGCTGGGAGCACGGGACACAACAGGTTGACCTTGAGGGCAGGTGACCAAGCCAGAAGTCAAGAGTTCCAGGGGAACCTCCGCAGTCTGGACAGAACACCTTCCCTAGCAGACTTTAGTCTTTGCATCAGACAGTAATTAGAGTCAGAAGGGCCACATGTGCCCTAGAACGAGGATGTGATGAACCTATTCGGGAAAATGCTCATCAGTTGAGAGACAGGAGAGAATGAGAGGCTAAGGCACAGCTCCAAAGACCGCAAGGCCAGAGCCAAGCAGCCACCTTCTGCCCAGGCCCAGGAATGGCTGCAGAGTCAGTGGGGAGTTCTTTCCTCCTTGGCACGAGGCTATCTTAGAGATGTCTTCTAATCCCAAGATCCCTGTGATGATCCTGATGAGCATCCATGCCAAAGCTTTTCTGTAGATGCTTCCAGGGTTGGCAGAGGGGTCCCCAGCCACGTCACAATCATGACAAAGAATATCCCCATGTCTCTCACAGGCACTGTAGTGGAGACTTTGAGTGAGCAAGTCCTAAGAAAGTATGTACTTTATGTGATTTAAGGTGTATCTCTCCTCCTCAAACATCTGGATTAAATGTGTATTTTGACATGGGCATGGCCTGACAAGGACTCTAAGACCAAATGGCAAAGACGTTACCCATATGAACCAGGCTCAAGAGAAATAGCTAAGCTTGGCCGGGCGGTGGTGGCACACGCCTTTAATCCCAGCACTCGGGAGGCAGAGGCAGGCGGATCTCTGTGAGTTCGAGACCAGCCTGGTCTACAAGANGGGAGGCAGAGGCAGGCGGATCTCTGTGAGTTCGAGACCAGCCTGGTCTACAAGAGCTAGTTCCAGGACAGGCTCCAAAGCCACAGAGAAACCCTGTCTCGAAAAGCAAAGAAAAAATTAAAATATTATTCTCATAACTTGAAATTCACCACTGAGAAGTTTTCATATCCACTATACATTCCTCAAAGGGAAACACTGTACCTGTGCACAGCCTTTCAATTCCTCCCTCCCTTGACAATCACAAATCTACTTTGTGTTTCTGTGGATCTTCTTAAGGTCCACCCATACTGGAGCATAAAACAGCGCTCATTCCTCTTTATGGCTGGATAGTGTTCCAACTGCACCATATTCTATCTGGCATCTGTCAGTGCCCACTTGAGCTGCTTCCCCTTTAGCTTTTATGAACGCTGCTATGAATGGGTTCATGTATTTGTGTTGTTGTCTATTTTCAATGGTCTTGGAATCTCTATGGTTTTTATATACTGGAAATACAGGCAAATCTATAGAACACAATGATATCTGCTATGACGCCGTAGTCATTACAGTGTGTTTAGGGCAGGCCTGTGATCAGTAAGAATCCTGTTCCACCTGTATTACAGCCCAGCATCCTGAGTTGAGTTACCTACATTCACTGTTGCCCTGAGTGCTCTTTGAGGGAAGGACTGCCACTGATATGGACTGCCCCCCAAATTCCTATGCTGGCAGCTAGATCCAATGCGGAGGTGTGGCAGAAACTTTAAGGGTCATGGTTTTTTTTTTAATTTTTTATGGTTTATTTAGCTTTATTTTATGTGCATTGGTGTGAAGGTATCAGATCCCCTGGAACTGGATTTTCAGACAGTTGTGAGCTGCCATGTGGGCACTGGGATTTGAACCCGGGTCCTCGGGGAGAACAGTCAGTGCTCTTAACCGCTGAGCCATCTCTCCAGCCCCAAGGGTCATGGGTTTTATGTAAGGCTGTCATATGACTCTTTCTGATGAATCCATTTCTAGTCACCCCAGAGACGACAATGTCAGACCAAAGAAACTATCCCACCAAGTCTAGTTTGGTGAACCAATGAGTTTATTGGGATTACTCACATGGATGACTCTCAAGCAGGTACACCACCGAGGAAGAGCCTCCCTTCCTGCAGCAAGGTAACCATTCCTGTATCCTCAGCGTCGGGAGACAGCCTATGCACCTTGTGAACCTCATTCACCTCTGAGTCCTTCCTGCCTTCCATATGGGAATGGTAGGTCCTGCTTTATAGGGGCTTCATGTGAGCGGTCTGAGTTGTGCTAATTCAAGATGGCAATGACCACATCCAACCTGGGAGAAACCACCACACAAGAAGTGGTCAGGTTATCGAGGGTGACACCCTCTGAAGAGGTTGACACAGTTTTCTGGGACCTTAACCAGTTCTGTTAAAAGACCATTATTTGGGGCTGGAGAGATGGCTCAGTGGTTAAGAGCACTACCTGTTCTTCCAAAGGTACTGAGTTCAATTCCCAGCAACCACATGGTGGCTCACAACCATCAGTAATGAGATCTGGTGCCCTCTTCTGGCCTGCAAGCATACATGCAGGCAGAATACTGTATACATAAATAAATAAATAAAT